ATTAATTAATAGATAACATTATAGGACATGTTGAGTCTTCTAATCCAACATCCTGCCCAGATCATGAATCCTGCTACTATCCCAGACAAAATTTGTTGCATGAATGACAATAACAAATCTCTTTGATAAAGGAATTCCATTTCATAAACAGTTTAATAGAGCTGTTATTAATTCAATAAATACAGCATCAATGGTCATCTACAAATGGCTTGTCAAAGAACAGACAAAATTAGGAGATTGATTTGATTTAGTATTCAAGAAAAAAAGTAAGCTGTTTGCTAAAGTTTTATGTCATTTATCCATCTTGTTTGTTCATGTCATAAACTGAGTGAATGTGTAGATAACAAATATAATCAATCCTATCAATAAATTCCTTTATACTGGGGATTTGTGAGTATTGTATATATGTGTATATGTGTTAACACATACACGTTTCTGTAAATAATGCACAAGGAGTTTTTTTTTTTAAAGAGGGACATATAGTGTATGAATTTCAAACTTTCTACTGCAAACACAACAATTGTATAATTGCTTTATAAAAACATTATTTAAAAGGAATATTTTGTATCTGCTTTACTCTGCAATGAAATCATAATGCTGATGACACCATAGATGGTTACTATGGAAACTGATCTGAAATCCAGCCTTAAAAGATATTCATCAAATTTGAAAAAAAATAAGGGGAATATATCTTTCTAGTTTAAGATTGGCAATATAGGGAAATTTTAATGCAATTGGCAATATAGAGAAATTTTAATGCAAAAGAAATATAAACCAAAGATAGAACTACAAAAAATTGTTCCACAACTATCAAAGGATTCTCTTCTGAGAAAAGAAACATTCAGGAGGATAAAAGGATCAGAAATAGTAAGACAAAGAACTGAAAGTGTGAAGAAAATAAAATAGTAAATATAGTTGAAAATAATTTACTCCCATTCACTCTACCTCTCTGTTTTCCATCCTTGCAAAAATCTCTTGCCTCCTCATACTGCTTCATGCATTGCCTTTTCCTTTTGAAATGTTCTTTTTTATCCTTTTTGGGAAAGCCTAGCGTATGTTTATCTCCTTCTTCTCAATTGTGTATACTGTATATTTGATTTATGATGAGATGGTCATTCATTCTTTCTATATGATCTATGTTTTTTCTACACTTCTATGTTTTTTTAAAATAATAGTCATTAATATTTGTATTCAGTCCACATTCACTCATTTTTAACAATCTCTTATTTTACCACACATACTTAAATAATCTATTCTCATAGCATTTATTGTACTTTTATGTTTCCCAGACATTGCTAACTCACACTTCTGTATATTAAATAGATAGAAGCATGTATAGTTGTTTTCCATTGTTTTGACAAACTTTCATGTTTTCCAGCAGACGATAGTACCCATTACTTTTCTATGCACATTTGATTGAGTATCTTAACATTTCTTCAGTTTTCCCCATGTTTACCAAGTTTAAAAATTATATATTTGCTGTTGTTTTAGATACTTATATGTACATTGAAGTTTGCAGTTCATGTTCATTGACAAATGTGACAATCTTGATTTTTGATAATTAATTTAGCTATACATATTATTTACTGATCAGTCATACAATCTAATAAGGTAAAGGTTCCCCTCGCACATATGTGCTAGTTATTCCAGACTCTACAATCTAATACACATGTATAAAACAACCAAGGGGATGTTATACATCTTTGTATGTCCTGTTCGCTATTGAATCATTTGCAAAGCTAATGCTTTTTATAATATTTTAAAGTGTGTTTAAGAACCTGTATTTCATGATAAACAAAGTAAAATACAGAGTGTAGTCATTTTGTATTATTTTATTCTTTTTTTCATATAAAATAGAACAGAATAGAACAGAACAGAACAGAATTCTTTATTGGCCAAGTGTGATTGGACACACAAGGAATTTGTCTTTGGAGCACATTGCTAAATATTCACAGAATAATATAAAATTAATATGAAAGTTATTTTTCTTGAGACAAGGTATTCTACAATATGTTGTTTCCTCCTAGCTGCTTCAATAGATATGAATAAAATCCCTTTAGTCCCAATTGTGGGGGAAAGAACTTCTTCCCCAGTTTGTATGAAAAATGCAGAGAAGTCCATATCTGAATAATAACTACATTTAACTGTTTTACTCTTTGCCCGGAGACTTTTATTGCGACTGCAGATGCATTAATGGACTTTCATGAGAAGGATTTTATTAGGTATTTATAATAGTTGCAATCCCTGCTTATAATCACACCATACATCAAGGCAACCACAGATACATGAGTAGAGGCACTTTGAAATAATTTATTATCACTTATTCAAAAATATAACATTTGTTTGGGGAAAAAAAACTTTGGACATACTAAACCAGAATATTTATCAGTTAAGCTCATAATTGAATGGGAAATGTCACTGCAATCCATAGTAGTAAAAAAAACACTGTCAGTTGAGAACACTTGAATTGATTGATTTGAATTTATTAGCTACTAATGTCCAAGGGACCCTGGATCTAAAGATGAGGTCTCACAAATAAGAACTGCTGAAATGAGCCTATTTCACAAAAGTCTAACAAAAGTGTTTACAAGTGTGTACTCCATAACTACATTAAGGCAAAAAAAAAAAGTAAGGAAATTTGATCTCACAGTGCTGGCACTTGAGAAATGCAGCTTTAAAAGGCCCTGAGGTGAAGGCTTATGTGAAAGTCTGTGATACACATTCTTATATTAAACTATCTGCATTTCACAATTCATCACTTCAGGAAATGTATCCAATTGCATGCATGAAATGATATCTGTGCTGTTTATTTTTAAAATATTAATATTAGAATTTAACAAAGATTAAAAAAATAAAACAGAAAACTGATTACATTTTGTAGAAATTCATGATATGGATAGTAATCCATCTATTTTGGCATTCAGTAACTGCATTTCTAGAAAGGTTGCAAATTTTTTAGCATTGAAAGATCATGCATCAGTCCAGTTAAATGAAATTAGAATAAAAATGCTTCACCAAGTTGAAAAATTGAGCTACTTTTGAGCTATCAAAAATAAAGACTGCCTATTCCCCCAAATTCCTTTTTAAAAAACATTTAATATAATCAGCAATATATACATTATAAACCATTTCTAACTTATTCTAATTCTTTTGGCATGCATTTTCCCTCCAGATACTTTGTCTTTCAGAATGACTGTCTAAACCGTAAAAAATGTGCCCATCAAAAATTGAAGGCCTCTATCTTTTTCCACTTCTTAGTTATAAACACTCATAGAATGATAGCCTTAACATGCTATTCAGTTAATTACAACTCATCATACATTTTTGATCTATTTCATCCAAAATTTATCTAAAAATGCACATTACTTATATATCTATCTATCTTATATACATCTATATATGAAAAGGACAGCAAAACCCACAATATGACAAAGCTAATAAAAAATAAAGGCAGGGTAAAATGGTGGAAAGCTTTTTTTTTGTGGCAAATATGATGTTTTAATGGGTCTCAGGGCTGTCTTTTTCAAGAGTTTTCTGGAGGAAAACAGGAGACTTTTGTTTTTCTGACTCCTATTAGCCAGAAGTCTTGGACATAATAGTCTGGGACAAACTAAACAACTATCCAAATGCTTTAATGCATTCCAGACTTTTTTCGTTATAGAATACACATTCAACTCACTTTTTACCCAGGTAACTTTGAGAAGAGTCTAATATAAATATATAAATCTTACATAATGACACAAAAGAAGTAACTGCTTATAACATGGCTGTTCCAAATAAACAATCATAATTTAGTGGCACACGCAGATTATGGATTCCCCGTTCTTTAAAAAGCTGCTGAATAAAATTATGTAGTATGTGGTCATATATTAGGTAGCAGCAATTAATTAGTTATGTAATTTATGTATAAAGCTAACTGGGCCAAAATACCTGAGCTTATATTAACAGTATTATATAGCACAGCATGCCATTAACTTTACACCTCTGACATTCTATTTGTATTCCCTGAAATCTATTGTCTGTTTTCCCTTTTGGTTTTACAGTCTATCAATATGTTTCTAGAGCTGTTAATTTTTTCATGACTCTTACAATTTCTTTACTATTTAAACTGCAAACGTAGCTATGAGCAATTATCTTACTGCTCTTCAGGCACCTTTTCTTCCATTTAAAAGCCATTCATCTTCAGTTTATCATTTTCAGGTAATTAGCTTCAATATTACACTTTATATTATTTCATTTCAATCTTTAACTCTTATATCTCTTGCCATACCTTTTCTCACATTTTAAACCAACTATTCTATTTTTAATAGTAAATTTTTAAGAGTTGGAATCCATCTTTCTTCATTAGTATATAGTTAATACATAAAAATATTAAGCTATATTTATAAAACCTGACATTGACTACACTCCATGGAATTAAGGGGGGGGGCATACAGTATTTCAAAATAAGTTATACACTATGGTATTAGAAATAGTAGCTGCGATAATTCAGAGGCTTATCCGTCAAGTCTTGATGCTCTTTTTGTATTTCTGAAATTTCATTATCCTTTCCACTGGTCACAATTTTTTAGAAGTTTCAGAAATATTATCCCAATGTTTAATAATAATAATAATAATAATAATAATAATAATAATAATAATAATAATAATAAT